GAATGGAAAAGCCGAATGGACTATCATCATGTTGAAACTGTTGCAAGAAAACTGCAATATGTGTTGAATTACCATTAATCTGAAACATCTGGCAGATTATCTCCATTTGTCAGACGATAATACTGTTCTCTTCTGAGCTGCTTTCGTTTTCGTTCTCTGATTGCTTCACTATTCAATCTATCATATTATCACCATTGATTTGCAGAGGACATATCCATGCTCAGCACTTTGCCGACTGGAAAGTAGCCTGGTGCAAGATGAGTCGTTGCTTCCCCACTCCCAGATTTTTTGTGCAGGTATTTTACATCCAAGCAAACAATGCTATCTATATATTACATTTCTTGTTTCTAGGATCAGCTTCTCCCATACTGGCTCGAGTGCACAAAATGTCACAAATACCGCAAATATGACTCAGAGGCGTTGAAAGTGATTACTGTTCCAGAAATTGAAAGCTTCAGCTGCAGTGATTGCTCTGCACCGGAGGATAGGGTAAGCTTCGCCATCTATCATTATATTAGCATTCTGAGGTATAAAAGCTCACATTTAGCTAGCGATAGAAGCTCGTAATCCAAACTGGATTTTATCGGCTGCAGTCGCTCCTCTGCTGCACAATTCGCCTTCGCTGTACTACTTGAAGGATCATTACTATCTGGATGAGGTTGGGGTTAGCCCGGCTGCTGCCAGCTATCCGGAGGATATCAGTGAGTGCTTGAGCTATCAATTTTTCCCATTTTTTCCTGTCCTTGAAAAATCTTTTCTTAAGAGGTTGGGCATTTTCATTTTTTAAAGTATCCCTATACCTTCAGCTATACCTTCTTCGTCATTTATGGCACCATTCCACATACCTGAACAGCCTATGGCTTTCTGTGTTCGACCAGACGTAATGGAGTACGATGAACTGGTAATCAACAGAATTTTTTCGGGAAATTCTGATTTTTTTCAATCTTCATGATTCGTATTTTTTTAGAAACGTTTCCCACAATATTCCGCCGAGCCAATCATATATCTGGGCCTTCGTAATCTCATTATCACCCTGTGGAACATGAATCCATGTGTGAGTTCACCATTGCGGGATTTTTGAATTTCGAATCATCTATTCTAGGAGTACCTCACATTTGATCGTTGCAAGAATAATCTTATCTCAC